AACCCTAAAAGCCCTAAACCCTTACAAAGATAGGCTTGCTCCGGCGGGCAGACTTTGTCTCGTGGCTTCGTGAGTCTGTGGCCGTACCGAAGGGGCTTAAGGGGTTCTGGGTTTTAAGGCTTAGGGTTTTGGGGTTTTAGGGCTTAGGGTTTTGGGTGTTTAGGGCTTAGGGATTAGGGGTTTAGGGGTTTAGGATTTAAGGGTTTTAGGGCTTAGGGTTCTGGGCTTTAGGGGTTTTGGGTTTTAGGGGTTAGGGTTTTTAGGGCATACAGTTTTAGGGTTCAGGGTTTTGGGTTTTAGGGTTTTAGGGTGTAGCATTCAGGGTTTTGGCCACTCCTTAGCCCAAGGACCAGGATTCCCAACCTCTGAGGCCTAAACACCCAACCGGGGAATCCGGAAACTCCAAAACCCCTTAATTAAGGAATATACCTTAAGTCATATTAGGATTCCTATTATCGTTTAAGGTATATTCCTTAATTAAGGGGTTTTGGAGTCTCTGGGCCTGCCCACCCGGCGCCGACCGGACCTGGAGCTAAGTCCGGGGTGAAACTTGGACCCGATACTACAGTGGAAATCAGCCTAGACGGGAGGTTTGCTCAACTTTCCATGGACATTCTTTCATGGCGCAACATCTGTGCCTTAAAGGGAGGTGGCGCTGCACTCAACTGAAAGGTCCGAGCGGATTCAAATGAACACAAGACAAGAAGCGATCAAGGATCTCCATTACAGCCCGGTGACCCACGGCAGTTCTTATGCATATCAAATGGAGGCCGTGCGTTTCACTAGAGTAATGTTTTGGGAGTGTAGTAGTTCGTATATAGTATATACAGTTAGTTAGCATAAGGAACCTAACAAATACTGTTGGTAAGTATTTTGTTTAGTTTAGGCCGTACATTAACCCTAAACCCTAAACCCTGTGCTAAAGCCACTGAGCGACCCTACGTGGTCCTGCAGGAATCACAAGCAACTCGTCGCAGGTCCAAGTTACGTGGCGAATCTGCGACATCGTCGTACTCTGACCTTTTAAGAAGGGCCAAGCGAGGGTCATTTTACCAACTAAACCCTAAACCCTAAACCCTAATCCAATTCCGACCCCTATTATGAAATCAGAGCTTATCAGAGCCTTCTTGAAACCTGGACCCTGCTTGAGCTTCGCGTTTAGGATGCAAGGCTTAGGGTTTAGGGCTTAGGGAACTATGCCAAAGACAAAAACATCGAGAAGCTATGGTGTCGGGCATCACGCAAAGTCTTTGCAAAAGTGCATGTAACAGGACAGGCCACCAATGTCGGTATGATCTTAATACCCTTAACCGTCAGAAATCTTGAAACTACCCCCCAACGTAGCCAGATCCTGCTTGATCCCTCTTCACCCAACTCCACAGCCCTTCGACTCTAAAACGGAGCAGAAACTAGGCCTGCACAGTCCGCTGTAGCAAGCAACGGCCCTGCTCCGTTCTTGCCGAGACTAGAGTTCAGGGGGGAGGGGAGGGTCAGTGTGGCCCCTAGTCCTACATAAACCCTACCTGCACCCTAGAAAAACCTACCTTTTTAGGGCTGCTTCTTCTGATTTACTTAGATATGTCGTTAAACAAGTCAGTTATTTGGGGTTAAGGTAAACCACCCACCGCAAACCCTCATTAAAAGCAACCGTGTGGCCGGATGAAATCAGAAAGCACAGCTTCTTTCCTAGACACTCCTTCTACCCTCCATTAGACCCTAAATCACCTTAATTCGCGACCATATACCCCTTTTTCAGGGTGCGGGGAGGGTCCTGGTTCGAACCAAGCCCCACACCACCGTACGCAACGCTGCGTGATGCCGCCATAGCATTTCCACAAAACCCCGCGGCCCGTTGAATTCAGACACCCGTGCACCCAGAAACCCCAAACCCCAAAACAGGAACCCCAAAGCCTTAATTGACAAACCTACAAGCCCTACGTGCCAAGACATTGAACCGGAAATCGTCATTTTCATTAGACGCAAGGACATACAAGCTCTACCACAAACCGTAAACCCCTTGCCAAAGCCCTCAGACAAACCCCAATTAAACCCCAAACCCTAAACCCCTAAATGAAAACTTGCCAGGCGTCTCTTGTTGGTGGCATCCTCCAGCTGCTTCTGAAGGTTGCGCATTTCTGCGGCCTCAAAGGTCGGGGATCTGTAGCCCTACGGTTTAAGGTTTAGGGTTTAGGTTTTAGGTTTTAGGGTTTTAGGGTTTAGGGTTTTATGGGAAATATATGCTTTGGCCTTAAATTATTCCGTATATGGGTGCAATGGTGCCAAAATATATACGATTTGGGTACATGGACCCTTAGGGTAGGACTGATCGGCTGAAGAACCGAAAAGTAAGAATAATGATGTCGGGATCTGAATAACTAGAATAGGGCTTGGGGGTATCTTATGATATAGCCATAAGAAGGAACCCTGAGGAATAATACTGCATGGTAATTAGCCAGGCTTCTATACTGTGTTAAACTGCGGTGTGGTCTTGAACTTACATTGACATGTTAGTTGCATACAAGCCCTTTCTTCATTCAAAGCCGAACTTTCCGTTCTGCCTAAACTCCCAATTGCTTCATTGAACTTCGCGAATATCAAGAGCATGCTAGAGCTTTCGAGAACCTCATGTTGAACCCTCGGCTCTGGGTATGTACAAACAGAAGGCTAATCGTGGGAGGTTCCGAAATTAGGGGGTACCGTATTTTGGGGTCCCTATAATAAGGATCCTACTATTCAGGGTACTATACTAGGGTCCCCTATTTTCGGAAACCCCCCATGTTCTTAACTATACCACAAGATGCCCCCACACCCGATTCTAATTTAGACCCTATTATAAGGCATCCAGAATCGGTGACCATGCCTTGGCCTCGCGGGCAGCACGCAGGGCAGCGATGGCCTTAGCATACGTGGGCTCCCAAAGGTTGTTTAGGGCCCCTTCCCTACAACCCTAAACTCTAAACCCCTTCAACCCTAAACCCTAAACCCCATCAACCCTAAACCCTAAACTCCTTCAACCCTAAACCCTAAACCCCATCCTATAGGCATTGTGAGCTCAGCCTTTTTGGATCCTTCACACAAGAAAGGCTTCAGGCTAAGGCCTGGAGTTGTCCGGGTTTTAACTGGCTCCAAGGCACTGGGTTTTTATGAATCAGGGTTTAGGGTTTAGGGTTTAGGGTTATGAATCATAAGTACCTACCTAAAGTCTCCATTGTAGTTCCTTTTTGGGGTTACCTTGTAGGATCCTTAATATAAAATGGGTTAAAGCAAAAAAACAAACTACAATGGATACTATAGGTAGGGCTTATGTACTGTATTTGTTCATCGCCCCTTTTCCGTCAGCCTGAGTACCTAAGGTTTACGAGTTTAGTGTTTAGGGTATAGCCCCTTATAGTCCCACCAGTGTACTATACCACCTGCTTCTTTCATCATGGCGTTTTTTGCACGTCCATTCATATTCGGGGCTCCTCCCCATAAGCCTGGCATGCGTGCTTCATTCAGATTCGCATGCGCCAAATCGGACCTGTCCCCTGGAAGCTGCCAGCAAGGGCACAGGTCCAGGTATGTCTGTATACAAACATGTAAACATGTATGTTCATGTCGGTGATCAAAGTCTGCCCCAAGGCTATGGATATACTCATATCAGCTTAACTTGGACTACTTCCCACATACCCATTTGTGTAACAAGTTCAATCTTTCAGGTTAGACTACCTTGGCAGGGCTTTCCTGCACAACCTTTTTGGCTCGCCACTGACTATCGAGTCAAAAAAGATTCATAGAACACTTGCAGAACCCACGAACAGCTCTCGCCAACCCACAGGCCCACCTGAACCCTCTTCCACTTCACAACCTTGTACCTATGGTCTCCATTGTAGTTCCTTTTTCGGTTTAATCAGTCTTAGATTCAGGATCCTAAAAAGTAACCCCAAAAAGGAACTACAATGGAGAGCCGTCAATTCGTTACAGATCTATAATGGTCCCCCCTTGTCTTGTGGAGCCCTTACAGAGCCCATAAAGAGCCACATATGAACCCCTAAACCCTAAACCCTCTACAGGGAGCTCCTGCACCCCTAAACCCTGAAACAACCTAAACCCCCAAGTGCCCGAAACCCTAAATCCGAAAACCCTAAAACCCTAAACCCTAAAACCCTAAACCCTGAAACCCTGAAACCCTGAACCCTCAACCCCAAACCCAAGTGCTAACAAAAAGGGCCTGGTTGAAGTGCAGGATGGCTGAGTGGAGCGGACGAAGGCCGAACTGCTCCATCGTGCCGGCCATGCCCTTGCCAGCTTAGTGGCTGAGTGCTCCCTGTTCCGGAAAAACCATGACAAGTAGAGGTTCATGGGTAGTTATAAGTAGGGCTATAAATCCCCTAAGATGGGCTAGAACTATAGTTGCTCTACTCATAACCCCCACTTGTAACTACCCATGAACCTCCCAGTCAGGTATACGCAGGCCATGCTCTTGCCAGTGGGCTCTGGCTTTGGGGAATCTGGGGTTCAGGGTTTAAGGTTTCAGTGGGCTCAGAACACCTATGTGGAGGAGCTTAAATGTTTCTTATTATAGTTAGTAGTATAGTAGAATACACCCGCAAGCCCTATTCTAGTTATTAAGGCCCCTATAGCAAAATCTTTGCTAAGGGATACGCAACGGATAATCACAGCAACAATCCTATGGACACCGGTCCTCCCCCTTGTAAAGTGAACGTGCCTGAGGTTTGCGCTCTGGTGATAATGAAACTGAGTATGGCAAAGACGATGACGATGACGATGGTGACGAGGACGATGATGGTGCTAATGATGGTGATGAATGAATACCCATTGGCCCCATAGTAGTTCGTTTTGGGGTTCATATTTAGAATCCTAGAAGGTAATCCCAAAAAGGAACTGCTATGGGGCATATGGGTAAAAAAGTGCAATAGCCATTTTTGAATCAACAACAAGAGCCTCGAACAAGACACCTACGGGTCATCCCGTTTCTCGCCTTGGATGCTGCGTCTCTCTCTCTGAAGTAGCCGAAAATCTGGAACTGGGCTTCATTATCATCCAAGGCTGAATGCAAGATTCAGGACGCAGAGAGCCCAACTCCTCCCCAAATCGAGGAATATGCCACGAATCAAACCGGACTTCCAAGTTGCCTTTGAACACAACCCTAAGGGTCCAAGTTCCCCCTATTTGTTCAGGACCTTGGGGCCTTTTTGGGTACCTAAAACCATAAACAAGGACTACTTGGACCCTCAGGACAAGGGAATTGAGATCTCTGTGCAGCTTACTCTATACCAAGCCTTCAGAGCATCGGCTGGCACGCAGGCGCAAATAGTCTCAAAGATGTCAGCGGCAGACTTCTCCTCCCAGTGCGGGAGAAGTTTCTGGACGCGCGTCTCAGAATATCGACCATAGTATGTTTTCATGGAAGAAACCTTACAGCTAGGACATCATAGAAACAACAAAAACGATATCCAAGTAGCCAACTTTAGGGTTTAGTCTGTGTGCCCTCACTCCGAATTTTTCAAGGTTGCAGAGCCAATGTCTTAAAGAGCATAGTTGCATAACGTTGATGATCCACTGTAGGCCCTCGCCCCAACATAGAGAGCAACACAATCAAAACAGGGGTTCGCTTCAGAGATTGAGTCTTCACAAAGCTCTTCTACAAGTGCGAACGGTTTACGAAGCAAGTGCTGCTGATTGTCTTATTGTTCAAACAAAAACGGAAACATCGAAACCCCAAACCCCAAACCCTTGTCAGAATCCAACCCTGGCCCGGACAGCTAGACCCGAAGCAATGTTTGAGACTGGCCCGAACCCTACAGTACCTGAAGTTGTAAATCTCGGTGCCCTTCAAACGCTGCGACTCCAGGGCCCTAATACCCTAAACTCCTAAACCCTAAACCCTAAACCCCTAAACCCTAAACCCTAAACCCTAAACCCTAAACCCTAAACCCCTAAACCCCTAAACCCCTAAACCTCCTAAACCCTAAACCCTAAACCCTAAACCCCTAAACCCTAAACCCTAAACCCTAATCCCTAATAATAAAGCGGCAGCGCACCGCCCAGAAGTCCCCTGCACCTCCGTGCGATTCCATGCAGCCATCCGAATCAACCTGTCAATGTAGGGCTTACGGTACAGGGGGTTTAGGGTTTAGGGGTTTAGGGGTTCAGGGGTTTAGGGTTTAGGGTTTAGGGGCTTAGGGGTTTAGGGTTTAGGGTTTAGGGGTTTAGGGTTTCGGGGCTTAGGGGCTAGGGGTTGAAGGTGAAGGGGCTTAGGGCGTAGCATTTACTGCGTCGGCCATAGGGCATAGGATTTTTGTTCGGGGTTGCAGGACTCTGATAAGCACAAAGGTGCTGCGGACCCTCAAGCCTAAGCCGCTCTGAGCTTGCAGCATTTTATGGCTTAGGGGGTTCCGACCTGTTGATGTGACCTGAAGACTCGAACCTGCACCCAACGGCTTAATATAGGGGCCTTAATAATCAGAATAGGATTTTGGGGTATCTTATACCAGAATTAGAATAGGAGCCCACAAACTACAATTGGAAGTTATTTACGCCCCTATGTTAGACGAAAATGTTAGGGGCATTGAGCTCATCGTTGATTCGGGCTTTGCACCTAGGGCTCGGAACGCTCCGGGTTGAGCCAAGCCCCTTTCGGGTGGCTGGGACCAGGGTACAGAGACCGCAAGACATGGGTTGAGCACTTTAGGGTTTAGGGTTTAGGGTCTAGGGTCTAGGGACTTCAATTCAAGCTCAAGAAAGGGGCCAAATCTTCAATAAAGAAGGATTCCGAAGATGTTGAAACCTACATGGCCTGTAACCTAAACCCTAAACCCTCTTCTGGTGGCCTATAACCTAAGCCCCAAACCGGCTTGGCATGTAACCTAAACGCTAAACCCTCCTGTTATGGTTTATACCCTAAACCCTAAATCCTCTACATGGCCTATAACCTAAACCCTAAACCCTCTCTTGTGGCCTATGACCTAAACCCAACACCCTCTGTTCGCTGGAAATCCCTCAACCAGAAGACTCAGCGATAGGCTCAGGGCTTCCAAAGAAGGCTCAACCCTACGGGTCCGTGTACCTTTAAAGGGCTTTGGGTTTAGGGTGGCTTTTGGGGTTCTATAAGGGTGCTTTAGGGGTAATTGCCATAGGGGTTTAGGGTTTAGGGTAGCAGGGTCCATGTACCCAACTAGTATCTACTGGCCTTAAAATAGTTCCTGTATAGGTACTTTGAAGCCTCTCAGCCCTAAACCCTAACCCCTAAACCCCGAAACCCTAAAACCTGAAACCCTAAACCCGACTTATGGTCTCCATTGTAGTTCCTTTTTCGGTTTAACCAGTTTTAGATTAAGGATCCTAAAAGGTAACCCCCAAAAGGAACTACCATGGAGACTACAGGGAATATACTATTCTAGACTTTGAAGTAACCAGGGAGCAAAAAGTATAGACTTTAATTTCATAATGGTTCCCTAAAGGAACAGGTCCCAAGCAAAAATGTATTCAAGTATGGTACTCCAGAACCCAGCTATTTGGGTACATGGACCCTTAGGGCACCACAAAACAAAAACTTTGGGCCTCTCTGGGAGCGCGTGGAGCAATGTCTCCTCAGGCTTAATTTGGGTTTGGGTTTTGCCGGGTTTGTGGGGTTTAGGTTATGAGAGGTTCGTGTTTATTGGGTTTATGGGTTTTGGGGTGTAGGGGTTTAGGGTTCAGGTGTTGAGGGTTTGTAGGGTTTAAAGGTATAGGGTTGAGGCTTGGTTTTGGGTTCGAACTTCTACGCAGTTTGAACTATGTGCCAAGGTTTGAGCCTGTTTGCTTCCCCCACCTACGGTTGTTACCCCGAACCCCAGTACCCGATTGATTACGGTTTTGAGCTTTAGATATTGGCGGTGGAGGCTTAGCGGGTAGTTTCAGGGCTTGGCGAATTTAAGTTGAGGTGTTTCAGGTTTAAGGCTAGCGGGGCTAGCGGTTTGGGGGCCTAATAGGGTCAAGAGCTGCTTCGCTTTCCACGATCTCTCCCTTTAAAATTAAACCCAAACCCTAGACCCTAACCGAGTCTTTCTGAACAGCGACTCGCATCCTCAGTCACGTCGGAGGCTCAGACCCAGAGACCCCCACACCACTCAAGGAATGACTACACCATAACTCGGTTGAGGGTCTTGCGTTTAGGGTATAGGGTGCCCCGTGGTTTAAGGTAATAAAGAAGCCTTGATAGCTAGAACATGTTTTATTCGGTTTTTGAGGGATGTTCTAGTATGATTATATACGTTAATGGGCTCTTTGGCGAGACGGAAACTGAAAAAGGTTCAGACCTCTGTGGGTTTCGAAATGGTGTTGTTGGACCTGCAAGGTTCATGGTTAGTTTGGAGACATGGGGATGTAAGCACGATAGCTGCAGTCCGCCTTCTTAACCTACCCATAAACCTCTATGGTTGCGGCATTGCAAAGGCTGTGGGCTGAGGCTTAGGACTTGTCAGGAAAGCGTGGCCTACAAATACTTTCTTTTCTCTTGCTAAGACCCTGTGCCTTACTGAGCACCTGAACCCGAAACCTCGATATTGGCGGAGTCCTGATCGCTTGATTCCGAAATGCGAGGGGTTTTCACAGAGAGGCTGCAAGTCAAACGACAATTGCTAGCAATGGCTTTCCAGTACTTGTACGTGCTAAACAAAAGATCACGGTTGTGCATATTGCTACTACTGCTACTACTCCCTAAACCCTAAACCCTAAATCCTAAACCCTAAACCCTAAACTTACTGCTAGTGCTACTTGTGCTGCAGACTGCTACTGCTGCTACTGCTACAATTACTGCTACTGCTACTGCTACTGCGACGACGACTACGACTACGACGACTAGAAGTCGGTCCGTAACTACTCCGTTTTAGGGTTTAGGGTTCAGGGTTGAGGGTTTAGGGGCCTACCCTTCTACTAGCACCAAGACCCTTATCTGCTGAATGACCTTGAACGATCTTCCCTCATCCCAGATCTAGTTCAACTTCCCTTCCTCTGCATAAAGTAGGCTCTGAGCCTATCCTTTGTCGTATATAGCACATAGTTTGTAGTAAAGTCTGCATTGAAGCAGTAACGAGGACCAACTACAACAAACCTGCCGACCTCCATGTTTTTTCTAGCGGTGTCTGTGCCATAGGTCCGTAGGTCTATGCAATGCAGGGCTTGGGTAATGGAGCTTGTGTGTAAAAGACTGAAACCAGCAACCCTAAACCCTAATCTCTAAAACTTCATGTAAGCCCTAGAGGCGTAAACACCTGAACGAGCATGGCCCTACCCCTAAGCAAACCCTACAACCCCAAGCACCTGAACGGAACGAGTATGGAGCTTAGCTTTAAGTTCTTGCGGCCCAGGGGGCGCCCCGTCCGTGGGTGGCGACGCCGGCGCCACTTTGGAGCATGAGCCTCACAAGCAGGTTGACGGCTTCGGATTAGGCGTTTACGGTTTAGGGTCGGGTTCAGGGTTCAGTCTTCAGGGTTTAGGGTTCCGGGTTCAGGGTTTCGAGACAAGCAGCAGGTATCCCTGCAATCTACAAGCATGTCTTCATTTAAGCGGATGATTACCATTGCTATTACAATTTTTAACTGCTAATATCAGCAGTCATATCGGCATTAGTATTTTCATTGCAGCTCTTACTGCTAGTCGTTAAAATGTTGCTTAGTCTTACTGTGGTTCTGGTTACACCTATTATTGTTGTGATGATGACGATGATGCTGATGATGATGAGGATGGGGCCGGATGGGGATGAGGATTATGAGGGTGATGGTGATGATGATGATGATGATGGTGATGATGATGATGATGATGATGACGATGATGATGATGATGATGATGATGGCGTGGTGATGATGCTGGTGATGATGAGGATGCGTGTTCTTATTGGGAATGTGGTAAGGTCTTGTGGCCGCCCTTTCGTTTCCCAGAAGATGGGACCTTTAAACAAAGAACAAAGCTTGACTGGTGTCCGCTTGCAGATTCGGTTTCCCGTTTAGCCCCAGGTTTGGGGATTTTAATAAGTTAGGGCTTTGGGGTTTAGGGGTTTCAGGGCTTAGGGGGTTCAGGGTTTAGTACTAGAGGTTTGGTCCATGTACCCGAATAATAGAAGCCCTCAGCCCTTACAAACTGTGTCCGTTCGATAGTCCCTATATAGGTCCTTTAGGGCCAATGTACACACGGTTGGGCTACATGGACCCTTCGAGTTAGGGTTGAGGCTTCAGGGCTTAGAGTTTGGGTTTGAGGCTTCCGGTCGTATGGGTTTAGGGTTCAGGGTTCAGGGTTTAGGGTTTAGGGTTTAGGGTTTAGGGTCTAGGGTTCGGGTTCGGCTCAGGGATTAGTACTCAGGTTGCCAAGAGCTTCTGTCACGAGATGTCTAACTAGGGACACATCTCAGAGGGCCCTAAACCCTAAACCCTAAGCCATAACCCTAAACCCTAAAACCTTCTTTCGGGTTTCCTGCATTGCTGTAGCGTTTCGGGGTGTCGCGCTCTGACAGTGTCGGGCTGGGACAATGGGGACTTCGGGCGTTCGGGTACTTGCTCTTTTTATACGTAGGTGTTTAACTTACTTCACCAAAAAAGCCAGGGAAATAAACGGTTAACCTTTAAGATTACTTCTAAATTATAAGAACCCAAAAAGTGTAAAGGTTGGGTATTGGGGAACTAAGTTAAGGGCATGGGGTCTACGTAGCTGTCATTATCTCTCGTTCAAGCATACAGCCTATGTCGGGGATTTATTTGCAGTTCCGACATAGGTCGCAGCATTGATTTCAACTGCAGACTCCGTAGTGGCCCTCATGTGCCATCATACTGTCCTGTCTTGCATGCAAAACAGCAGGAACTTTTCAAAAGGTAAGATGGGGGAAGATACCAGTGATCTTGTCTTTGGCGTCCTTTCCAGGGGTGCACTCGTCACCGTTCAGCAAATGAAGGGATGTCTTGCAAAAGGCGTGCTGCTGTCACGAACCCTAAGGGTCCATGTATTGTGGCCCTTTTAGCAGGCCCTGTATAGGAACTTGAGGGCCAAAGTATGATAATGTAGGGGCCTCAACAATTTGAATAGGGTTGTGGAGGTTGCTTATTGTGACTATAGCATAATATACACCTGAAAACCCAGTTCTAATTATTGAGGCCCCTATACTATCCTATTTGGGAACTTTGGGAACATGGACCCTAAGGGGAAGATACTTGCAGAATTTGCGCACACTATCCATTAGGTGGGGGGGGGGCTTGAAATTGGAGGCGTAATAGTTTGAACAAGGTTTGGGGGGGTAAGATACAAATACTTGTTAATAGGGACTAAGTAGAATGGGAGAAGAGACCCTAGTTGCCAAACTCTTACCCGTAATTCCCCAAACCCTGAACCCTACACGCTAAACAACCCTAAACACCACGAAACCCAAAATCTGACATCCTTCATCCCGTACTCCCAAATCCCGAAGACTGCCAAGCCGCTCCTTGGGGTTCAGGGGTTTAGGGTTTGTGGCTTTATAAGGCTTAAAGTTTAGGGCTCGGGTTTCCGGGTATATGGGCTTAGGGCTTCGCATCCTCCTCCCTATTGGGGTCCTTATACTCCTATCTACCGGGTGCCTAAGTATATGCTACTTCGTCACACCGTCACCCAACCCTAAACCCTAAACCCACGTTCACCCTTGGGGTCTGAAAGCTCCTCTATTTGGAATGCACCCCCCTCCGCCCCCAAACCCCTTCTTCTAAACATGATAACGTTCATGTCCATCCGTAAACCCTAAACCCGAAAAAGTTAAACCCCCACAAGCCCCAAAAGTCCTAAAAACCCTAAGAGCCCTAAACCACCAGCACAGGCCTCAGAAGATCGCTGTTGCTGCCCCTCAAGGCGATGGAGATGGCAGACCTGAGCACGCCAAACCCTAAACCCCAAACCCCAAACCCTAAACCCTCAACCCTACACCCTAAACCCTAAACCATACGCCCTAAACCCTAAACCCTAAACCCCAGGGTTCCTAAAGTGTATAGGGTTTGGGGGTTTAGGGCTTAGGGTTTAGGGTTTAGTGGTTTAGGGTTTACGGGCTTAGGGGTTTAGG